TTTTTTTTTTTGGTTATGAATTTACACGTTCATGCTGTACAGTATCTGTAGCATGCAGTTCTGGATTAATAAAAATCGACTTAGTATGTGCACCGTGTCATGTGTCCCATGTTTTTTCAAAAGCCGTTCTGGGTAATCTTGTGTAGCGCTCACCCCCCCCTCCCTTCCCCCACCGTGGGAGCTGCTGGATGGATCGGTCCCTCCTAGCCTGGCTTGTTTCTGCCCCAAACGTACCTACCATCCTCCCGGTGCCGACCGATACAGAGAATGTCCACACAGATGATGAGATGCTGTAGTAGAGTCCCAAAAAAATGGTGGAAGGAAGTACTTGCAGCAATCGCAGAACAGAGGACCTAGCTGCAGCCAGGTAAGACATCCCCCGAAAATAAGACCTAGTGTCTTTTTTCGTAGAAAAAAAAAATATAAGACACTGTCTTATTTTCGGGGAAACACGGTAGATCGGGAACACGTACCGTCGCTCACTCACTTCTCGATCGTCTCCCTGCAGAGAGAGGTGACTGTCACTCACGGCTCCCTGCAGTGATTCCCCCCTCCCCACTCCGATCTTCTAGCACTGACTGGGGGAAGGGGCGGGTACAGCTGGCTCTGTGTCAATCACACAGCTGGGTGGATCTCGGCAGTAATGTCGGGATCCGTCCCGGCTGCGGCGGTCTCAGTATACAGGGAGCTGTAGCCCGCTATATACTGAGCTTTGGGTGACGGGAGGACGCTAGTATATGTTCTACCGTGACACTTAGGAGAACTATGGGGGAAAGAACTGACCCGATGGCGGCAATCTGTGACTTGAGCTCCTGGCTGTACAGAACCTGATACAAGAGCTACCGGTCCATTTCCGCATAGGCCGCCAAGCTGCAGTAGAGGAGCAGCTTCTCCGGGTGCCCGTACCTGCTGAATGTAACGAGTAGAATGAGCGCGCCAGACCAAGAAAAGTCCAAGAGTCCAAAATCTTTTAATCACTCAACTGAACAACAGTAGATTAGCCAACAAGTTTTGGGGCCACAATTACCCCCTTTATCTGGGCTGAATGGAGATAACAAAGTTTTGGATGGACTCCAATCAAACGTTCTCTGCATGTTGGCTGTCCTCGCTGGCATTATAAATCGGCCAGTTGGTCTTCTCACCTCTGAATGAAGTCAGCTTAGAAGCCATCATTTGAGTTCATCCAAAGCCTTGTTATTTCCATTCAGCCCTGATAAAGGGGGGAAATTGTGGCCCCCAAAATGCATTGGCTATCTACTGTGGCTTTTGCTGTTATCAGTTGCATTCTACTCATTGCATTTCTCAATTCAGGTGCCAACCCTTCCCCTAGGGGTCTCCCGATTCCTGCATAAGAGCTGCCTGACCTAAACCATTAGGCTCAAGCGCCCCCTTTCTCTGAAAGATTCCAGTCCAGCATCTCGTTTGCCATTTGCTTCTGGGCTCGTACTTGCTGAAATCGCTCTCTGTCATCTCCTTCCTTAGCTTCACTGACTGAGCCTCAGACCCAGGCCTCAGTCTGAACGCATGGCTTCCCTTCCTAGGAAGGAGGCCTAGAAGGGTCAGGCAATCCACAGCTCCCTCCCCTGGACGAGGGGCCCGGGGGGAGAAAGACACCCTCGCATGGTCCGCTCTGAATATTTATGTTCTCCTCCAGCAGGCACCACTGGCCACGAACCTCCTAGTGATTGGCTGGAGAGACACAGATATTCATACCACATCATTATTGGGTGCTGTGCTCTGTGGCAAGGTCAAACCAGCAGCAACAGAATGCTTAGGAGAAACCAAATGAGCACAGACTATCAAATCCGGATCAGACTGACTACAATGCGACAGCAGCTGATGCTTATGGCAGGGTGGCTACACTTGTGTCAGAGATAAATAAGGGCCAGAGGACAATGTAGTTAGCTTAAAAAAATCAGTACATACTTGAATAGGTCCCCATGTCTCTTTAAGGAGGCTTCAAGTACATAAAATTGCCTATTGATCCTTCCAGCAATCCAGTGAACTCCTAACC